ACACAAGCCTGAGAGGGAAATAAAAGCTGGAGGCACCACACTCTCTGACTTCAAAATATACTACAAAACTGTAGTAACCAAAACAGCATGTACTGGTATAAGACATATAGATCAATAGAACAGAATAGAGAGCACAGAGACAGACCCACATATCTACAGCCAACTGATTTTCAACAGAGATGCCAAGAACTTACATAGGGGAAAGAACAATCTTTTCAACAAATGGTGCTAGGGAAACTGGATATTCTCATGCAGAAGAATGAAACTAGACCCCTATCTCTTAACATCTTCAAAAATTAAATCATAATTGAATAAAGACTTAAATCTAAGAACTCAAACTACTACTGGAAGAAAACATAGGAGAAACGGTTGAAGGACATTGGTCGGAGGACATTCATAAGGAGCAAATATTTTATAGATAAGACTTTAAAAGTGNAACAGCATGTACTGGTATAAGACATATAGATCAATAGAACAGAATAGAGAGCACAGAGACAGACCCACATATCTACAGCCAACTGATTTTCAACAAAGGTGTCAAGAACACACTATGAAGAAAAGACAGTCTCTTCAATAAATGGTGCTGGGAAAACTGGATAACAGTATGCAGAAGACTGAAACTAGACCCCCTATCTCTCACCACTTATAAAAATCAACAATGGTTTAAAGACTTAAATGAAGACCAAAACTATGAAACTACTGGAAGAAAACATAGGAGAAACGGTTGAAGGACATTGGTCGGAGGACATTCATAAGGAGCAAATATTTTATAGATAAGACTTTAAAAGTGTGAGAAACAAAAGCAAAAATATACAAATGGGATTATATCAAACTAAAATCTTTCTGCACAGCAAAGGAAAGAATCAACAGAGTGAAGAGACTGTAGAATGGGAGAAAATATTTTCAAACTATACATCCAACAATTATACATTTCTCCCATTCTACAGATTTGGATGTATAGTTGCAACTATACATCCAAATCTGTAGAATGGGAGAAAATATTTGCAAACTGTGTATCCAACAAGACATTAAAAGGAACTCAAACAACTCAACAACAACAACAAAAAAAAAACAAGCAATCTGATTTTAAAATGGGCAAAAGATCTGGTTGCAGTCAACAGCTGGATGATTTATTTCCCTCTGGGCACCTAACCCTTCTTTTGGTGGTTAAGGCCAGCGTACTCAGCCTGCAAGGAGGTCACGTGGCCCCTGCATGACTAGAAGGGTTTGAATTTCAAGAGACAAACTCGAAGAGGTAGGCAGGGCTAGACATGACAGGATATTCTGTAAGTCTTGCTAAGAAGCTTGGCTGCATCCTAAAAGCAGAGAAAGACACGTAGCGGTTTGAAGCAATGGGATGATGTCATCAGCTTCCCAGGAATTCTGGCTGCTGTGTAGAGTGGATTGAGTGGGGACAGCCTGAAGCAGGGAACCTGGTTAGGAAACTGTCCCTGTGGTCTAGCTAAAAGGCGCTCATAGGCTGGGCTGGGAGAATGGCCATGCATGGGAGTGACTGACAGAGCAGGTAACTCCCATTCTGTACTTTCCAGGCATTTTAAATCTGTGAAGTAGGTCAGGCTGGTTCTTTGATTTACAGATCAGAGAGAGAGAAAGGGCAGTGACAAAGTGGTCCCCAAGTATGACCTTCCCATGTCTGCTATGCATCCCCAGGGAAGCCTGCATGATCTTGGGGGTTAGGTGAATGGTGTCAAGGGCATTCGCGTATGTATTGGTCTCTCCTATCGGGCGGTGTTCTTGCATTGAGGAGCTTGTCTTCACAAAGGTCTGGAACTAAGTAGGGCACGGACTAGTGTTCCCATTTTTGCCCTCATTTTCTGATACCCCAGGGCTTTCCCCCTCCCCATCACATGGTCATCTCCCTGCCTGGAGTCACCATTGTCTGCTTCACACGTTTGCTTCCTCCACTGGATTCTGAAGGGAGGCTGTAGCCTAGTCGCCACCAACTACCCAGGGCATATGAATGCCTGCTGTGGTTTTATAGAATTGTCCCATCACAGAGCCCACCGGTTAAAGTCAGAGGTCCTCTCTGATATCCCCACATGTGCAGTGCAGTGAGCTTCCTGCAGGTACCCCATCTAACATCTCAGTCAGCTCTCCCAAGCAGACCCTTTATCTGACTCTCTTTAGCACACTGTTACTTCGGTTAACCCAGCATTTCCTTCTGTTCTGGCGTTATAGCTTGCTTGCTTGTCTGTTTTACTCACTCAAATATGAAGCCCTTGAGGACACATGTGTCTGAGTTTTATTCATCTCAACATTCTCCATAGCCTTGAACACCTGGCATATAATAGGTTCTTGAAAATGAGCAAATAAATGAGTGAATGAATAAACAAGCAAATTAATGAATGAATGAGTGAGTGAATCAGTGAATGGTCAGCTCTTCTTGTTAAAAAGTGCTTCTTTACCTTCAGCTGAAATATGTCTCCTGTTAACCATCACTTTCTGAGCTGATTCTATCCATTGACTCCATGCAGAGCCCTCTCCTCTTCCTCACGGCACCTTCTCATATAGTGGAGCCTCAAGGATTTGCTTTCTGTCCTTTGAACATGCCAACCTGTTCCTGCCCAGCTTGACCCCACCTTAGGGTCTTTGCACTTTCTCTTATGGCCAAGCCCTTTGGCCCTATTGCTTTCTACAACTGGATTTTCCTTGCCATTTGGGTCTCAACTCAAATGTCACCTTCTCAGAAAGATCTTTACTAGCCACTCAATCTAGAGCACCCCTGCCCCCAACCCCCTTACACCTCTTTATCTCTCTGGGCTGAATTCTGGATGATTCTGGATGATTTCCTAGGATCTGCCTTTCAGTTTGCTAAATCTGCCTTCATCCATGTCTCGTCTGCTGTTAACCTGCCTGTAGAGGTCTTCTATCAGTTATTCTATTTTTCATTTATAGAACATATATGCAAATATCATGATCACTAATATTTTAAAGTCTTCTTTTAGAATTCCTATTACATGAACAACTCCCCCATCCCTTGCAAAGTGATCTATTCTATTTATTGCATCTGCTGATTGTCTCTCAGATGTTGGGTATCTGTAATTCCTGTGATATTTTTAGATGCAATTTTATCAGAAATTATCATCTTTTAGTGTCCCACATGGGTTTTGGAAGTGACCCTGTGGGTACTCATTATTTCTTAAACAGTTGTTCCATTAATTTACTGGAGAATGCAATATCTATGTGTTATCATGTATAATGTAGGGAAAGAATGTTGCCTTCTTGTGTTTGAGATCACTCACCTGCTTCTAGTGACCGCTACTACAAGTTTAACTTGTTGCTTTGTCCTCACAGTGGAGCATCACTCAATGCAGCAGTACCCAGATGTCAGGTACATATGAGCTTAACACATAAGACTCCTCTTCAGCTTAATGCATAAGCATGGAGCTCCCTGGAAACACGGATTTCCGAGATCGGCCTCATGAACACTGAATTCATAAATCTGAGATTAAGCCTAAGAATCTGAATTCTTATAAAGCTCCGCAAGGGATTCTGATTTATATATAAGTTTGGATACCATTGATCCTATAAGCTTTGAGGATTTAAATTTGGTTTATTTTTGTCTTGCTTATTCCTACCCCAGAAAAGGATTTGAAGCTGTGTACCTATAGACAGATAAAAATACATTTTGAAAAGCAGACTAAAGACACCTACACGAACAATACCCTGAGCAAGTGAGACCTGACCTTGCTTCGTGACCACAGAAACATGAGGTGAAGCTGCGGTTGACTTCTGCACCAACACCCTTGGGGTGGGTGCAGCCACGAGCTGTGTGCGAGCCATCACTGCCCAGCTCTGAGACTCTCAGCATTGAAGCAAAGCCTGGCTTGGCGGAATCAGTCACGGGGCAACTGTGGAACTGCAAAGGGATGCTGTGCACAGACAGGGTTTTAATTTTCCTAGGGTCCCTCTCTGCACACTGTCACATTGCTCAGATATGTTTCTTATCTCTGGCGCTTCCATGAAGGCTCTTCTTGGCAAACTAAGCTCTGTAGACCCGCTCTCCACCACTCACGCCGTACTGAGCCCCTCCCAGCCTGTATTCTCTCATACTTCTTGGCTTCTGCCCAAGCTCTTTCCTCTGCCCAGAAAACTCCTGTTTATCTCCAAGACTTCTCAAATGTCATCATCTCCAGATAGCCTTTCTTTCACCCTCCTTCATTGTCTTCCTTCCTTTCACCCTTGCGAAATCATTTTTTGAGTCCTTACCATGTCTGGAGTCCCCGCCCCCAGCTTCCCTCCACACCAGCACCTGTCACGCGGCCAGCCGTCACAGGCTTATCTGCCACATCACTCTGCGCCTCTATTTTCTTCACACTGGCTTCACCTGCTCCCTCCCTCTCTCTGCAGGGCTTTTGCACAGGCTGCAGGCTCCTTCCCTGGCACCCTGACACCGACTCCTGCTATCCCCACCTCCGCTGTTACTCCTCCTGCACAGCAGCACCTGAGACGTGCATTTGTTTTGTGATTCCTATGTCACACTGTGTAACCTGAGGACGGCAAGCAGGACTTCCCCTCTGTGTAGAGCGGAGCCTGCCACACAGCAGGTGCCCCACCGCCTTTTGTGGGAGGAACAAATGAAGACGTCCCAGAGCAGCCCAATTTGCCTCCTCCTTCTCCAGTTGTTCTCAGCCTTCTTTTGGCCGTTGGCCCCTTTGAGAAGCTCCCAAAAGCTAGAAACCCTCTCTACACAATGTGCACGAATGCTTACTTACATAAAATCTCCATATCATTTCAAGGGTGTGAAGCACCCCAAATAAAGACAGCATTACCTATTAATTACAAGGTAAGATTCTTTTCTGAAGAGCAGCTGATGAATTGTATGATAGACATCTTATAATAAAAGTCCACCACATGTGGAGTTTAAAGTGGGTTTCCCAGTGACATAAAGGCATGTATATGTGGATGGCTTCATGTAGAAGCCACTCTGGTTGCTATGTTCCCTTTAAGAACCAGTTTCCCTGATTTTGTCATTGCAGAAAGGAAGACAGCACAGAAGCAAACACAGCAAGCTGGAAAATATTTACATCCTTCTCAACGGACAGAGAAGAGGTGGCCCACCATGGTTCACGATCCTTTCCAGAGAGCCAGATTATAAGCCAAGCAACCATCTTCCTGTCTCAGGTCACTAATGGGGAATATTTCTACTCTGTATGATGCCAAGCAGGGGACCCAAGAGATGGCTGCTGACCGTAAGAAGCCCACATTTATTGGCATGGGTGAGTGGCAGGAAGCTGGGTCTGGAGACCCAAGGACCCAAGGACCTGTTGGCTCTGCTGCTCCGATGCTGCGTCACTGTGCACAAATAACTCACCTTCTTCCAACGTCCTCTTCATCTGTTTGAGGGTCCTATGCCTACTTGACAGTTTTGACAACCAAGTGAGCTAATGGCTGGGAAAGTGCCTGAATACCATAAGATTCTCCCCAAACGTTGGGGGCCTTGCTGTGTTTGTGAAATGCAGTTCCTTCGTCTTAGGGACTTCACTAACGGTTGTTCAGGAGCACACTCTTGCCATAAAGACGCATGGATTTACCATTCTGCATAGCTTCTATCCAAGATGGCTCATGCGGGGATGGTAGGATCATGGTTTTAAAAAATCATTGAAGTGGTTATTTTGATATTATAGAACTCCTGCAGATGCTTGGGCTAAGATGGAGTTCTCAACTTGCACGAAAAGTTGCATGCAAGTGAACTCTTTCCTGAGGAGAAGGAGCATGGATTTCATCTGATTTGCAAATAAGACTGGTAGACAAACACCCGAGCAGCCAAGCTCCCTTAGTCTAGGCGAAAAGGGCTCTCTCAGGAAACCCAGAGACCAACTCTGCCTCCAACTTGCTGGTGACCTTAAGGCTGCCCCTTGGCTTCTATCCGCCTCGGCTACTTATCTGTAAAATGGGTGTAGCACAGCCTTCCAGTTGCTGAGCTCCTACTGAGACACCGGCTCTGGCCAGGCAGGAAGCTTCCAGACCCAGCCTCCTTGCTTCCAGAGTAAGTGAAGAGCTCTTCTTCTCTCAAACATGTCACTTCAGGCAACTTGTGTCCAGGAGTTGTACCCAACTGACCACAGCACCCCAAAGTGCCCAGGCATGCAGCCTCATTTCAGCTCCTTTTGCTGGACAGTTAATGAGCATCACAGCCCACTTGCTGTGCTTGGACCCAGGAGAGTCTGCTTCCTGTGACACCATTTCCCTGTAAACTGCAGGGCTGTGAGGTCCGCTTACACTGACAGCCAGGGGCCTGGCAGGGACCTGTGAAATCTCAGTACCACCCAGGAAGATGCAGTGAAAAGCCAGCTGCTGCATGGGGAAACCTCAGTGAGCCGCATGTTTTCCTGCCCCGGATGCTGTGAGACAGCGAGTGGTGGCCGGAAGTCAGGCCTGGTGGATGGAGTTGGCCGCGGGTGTCTCAGATCTCCGCAGATCCTGGGGCAGTGGTCAGTGCTGGGTGAGCAACAGTCAGGCCCCACACCACGTTACAGACCTTAGAGAATTTCCAGTCCACAGCGGGTACTGGCGGCCCTTGGGCCAGATTCGGCCCACAAATGTATCACATTTGGCTTACATTTTATGTTTTTCTAATTGTGAATGCACTTCGTGCCAGTGAGCTGGATACTTAAAAATGGTTAAGAAGGTATGTTTCTCTAGAACCCTAAAACGTATCTTCTTAACCATTTTTAAGTATCGGTTCAGTGGCTCGGAGTGCATTCACACTGATGTGCAGCCATCACCTTCATCCATCTCCAGAACCTTCCATCTTGCAAAACTGGAACCACTATATTCATGAAACACTCATTCCCCACTCCCCTGTCCTACAGCCGCGGGCACCCACCCTTCTACTTTCTGCCTCTGTGAATCTGAACACTCTAGGACCTCGTATGAGTGGAATCATACAGTCAGTCATCTGACCGGTTTATTTCACTTAGCACAATGTTTTCGAGGTTCACGTGGCAGCATGTGTCAGAGTTTCTGTCCTTTTTATGGCTGAATAATATTCCAGTGTGCAGATGGACCACATTTTGTTTATTATCCACGCACTGATGGACCTTTGGGTGGCTTCTACCTTTTTGGCTATTGTGAACATTACTCCTACAAACACAGGTGTACAAATATATTCCTATGTCGCATTTTTTAATATTGGAGTTAGCAAGTGATATTTAAAAACCAAGAGATTTCATACACAAATCTGGATTTCTGGCTTCTCTTAGAAACTCAGTGTATCTGACAGCATCGGGCCTCTATCTTCCTGGCCGCAGTGAGAGGTGAATGAAGCCAGCTCACTCCCTCCCCTACTGAGAGGCACCCCTGCCAGTGGACCACAGGGCCCCGACTCCTTTCCCTCCACTCACTGCAAAACCTGCCTGGGTTCCACAGTCTGTGGCTTAGTGACACCTCATCCACTCAACACCCTCACGTTATGGACAAAAATGTGGAGGCCCAGGGAGGAAGCGTGGCTGGGGCTCGAGGTCTCACAGGCCAGAAAGCGCTACAACAGCTGAAATGCAGGAAGGGCCTGCAACTGGGCATTGCAAAGCCTTGGTTCTACTTCCAGCTCTGCCACCTGCCTTTCCCAGGGACTGGGACAAAGCCCTTCAACTTTCTGAACCTAAATTTCCTCTAATGAAAATGGGAGAAATGACACCTTCTTTTGCAGCCTCATGACGTACTGTGAAGACAGAAGGAGATGGTGAGCAGTCACCGTTGAATAAAGTTGAGATGGAAAGGGGCGTTACTAAAAGCACAGGTCATGTCAGGCAACCTGGCATCTGGGGGTCTGTTTCCTCATCTGTAAGATAGGAAAGGGGGCCATACCTTTCCCCACAGGGCGAGTCCTAGGATCAACTGAGGCAGAGAAGGAAAAGCATCCAGCAGAGGGCTTGGCACCCAGCAGATGCTTCACAAATGCTACTTTCTAATAAGTAAGGTCACATCCAAGGATTCCAAATTCCCTTCCTGCAGAACACAACCCAGCCAGAGGTGTAACATCATGGGAGTGACCGGCTTCAGGGTCAATTGGCCTGATTTCAAAACCGAAGCTGGACATTTTAGCCACTGAGGGCACTGGGCAGGTGAGCCCGTCTCTCTGATCTGCAAACTCTTCCATTGTTTAGTGGGGAAAATATCACTGTCCTTGACAGCTCAGGGGGAAATGAGAAATGGAAGGTGCTTTGCACACAGTAGACACTCAGTAAGGTTAATTCCTTTCCTTGCCTTCCTGAGTAGAAATCTGTTTTCTGGGTTAAAAAGATGACATGTTTTCCAAATATCTTCCAAAAATCAAAAAATAAAAAACGGAACAAGGAAAAGTATGGTTTCCAGCTTCCCACTGAGGTTTGTCAGTCACCAGGTTTCATTTACTCATTCAAGGAACAAGCATTGATTGAGCACCACTAAGCGCAAGGCTCCACACGAGGCCCTGGGGTTCTAGGAGAGAACAGACTAGACCACCGTGCTGCCCTGGTGGGTGGGCGTCTGTATGAGTCTGGTCAGTTGCTCCATGAGTACTCATTCAGTGCCTCTTCTGAGCTGACTTTCCAAGGGCCCTGGCTTTACCTGGAAGGCTCATCTATTGCTGCCTGTGTGTTTCCTGAATATCTGGACCCCACCCACTTCTCTGCCAGTCCCGGAGAACATACCTATCCTGGGTCCCAGACCTTTCGACACCATGGTCATCCTGCCCGCATGTGCTGCTTCTGTTATCCCCTCAGTCCTTTCCAGGGTCCCTGGCAAGGGCAGCGAAGCACTCCTGGGGTGAACAGTCCACCCCATTGCACCCTGTGGGCCACGTGTGGGCCCCAGAGAGCCTTGCCTCTTAGTTTACCTTTAGGCTTTGAATGAAATGGGAATATGGATGGAAAGCCCTTTGTAAACTCTTAAGATTTACATGTTTACACAGGATCGGTGTTTTCTGACTTTTCCCTAGAGAGATGACGGAGACCATCCGATGTAGGAGAAAGAGGTTAGGGTTTAAGAGTGGAACAGCTAGGCTGCAACCTGGGTTCTGCAACTTATTAGCTCCGAGACCAGAGAAAGTGACATCCCCTCCTCAGTTTACTTGCTGGGTGAATGGAGGTAATAAAATACTCATCTCGGCACCTACTGTGCTCAGTAAAGGAAAAACTGGATAGGAAGGCATTTTGCAGAGATATGTGTTGTATACTGTACTCATGTCGTTAATTTAATGCACATTTATTATACACCTACTTTGTGCCATTATGAACAAGGTGATCTGTCATATGACAATTTGGAAGAAAGTCCACAGGCTAAGGGAGAGAAGAAATGCTTGTCAGATGGTTGCACTGCACATTCATAGATTATGATTAGCAACAGCCAGCAAGTTGGCATGGCAACGTTTCCCCATGAACTGCTAGGCACTGTTCTTAAAATAGGTATGTCGGAGGTGTGGCGGCAGCGGGGACACGCTGAGGCAGGATGGCTTGATTGCTCTGCAGACCAAAGTGGGCTGTTTGCTGAGAGTGGCCCTGCCATTGCTTCCCAGGCAAGCCAGCAGGGCAGTGATTCAGGTGACAGATCCGGAAACATCCATTGTTGGAGCTGGAGACGGTCTTAGACTTCCTATAGTGTGAGCCACCTTCTCCTCCCCATTTTACAGGCGAGGAAGCTGATTCCCAGAGAGGTTAACAGACATCTGCGGTCCAGTGACAAAGCCACTTGGTTGCAGATGGGATTGAACCTGGTTTGGATGTCATCATGGAGTGTTCTCCAACTGTGCCATGGGGCCGGCTCTTCTGAATCAGAATTTTAGGTCTTGATCTGACGCAATTTATTTTCTAGTGGGCTACAATCTATATGGCATCACCTAGCAATAGGTATGTGTTTAAGGAATTGTTTCATTTTGTGTGGAATTCTTGCCTGCTTTTCACCCTGGGGAAGCCCTGAATCCCAGGATATCTTGGAAACTCACCTACTTTTTGACTAGACTTACATGATTAAGCTTTAAATCCACTCTTCCATAGCCTTCCTTAGCTAGTTTCCCAGTGTGAAATGAAGCATCAAAGCTGATCAAAGGTTTATGAATTGCTTTGCAATGAGATTATTATATGACTTTAGTTACCCATCATTGCAGAAAACAGGCAACCCAAGTCCTTTCACAGATGAGTTCCTTTCTATTTGTTTTACTCAGCAATTTATTGAGTAAACTTTTATAAACTTGAGAGGAGCTTTTCACCTTCAGATTGTGAGCTTCTTTTAAGAAATTCACAGCTTCCCTCTGACTGCAGGGATAAATTCCAGGTCTGAAATGTGAAACCTTTTGAGAACTCAGTCAACTTCTGAGAATAGGGTGCTAGACATTTCTGATATTTTAGACACAACCTTTTTTCTCTGTTGAGGTAGTGCCATGCAGTGGAAAGGGCTCTGAGTTGGGATTCCAGCAAGGGTAGGAGGGGCTGCAGTCCTGCCACTTACCCCTTCCAGGTCATTTGAAGGATATAAAGACTGCATTCTGCAGTGATGATTCTTCACCCTGGTTGCATGTTGGACTCACCTGCAGAGCTTTTTAAAAAACCGATGCCCAGGCCTCTCTCCAGGCCACTTAAATCAAGTTGTCTTGAGTGGGGCCCTGGGCAGAGATCATTTTGAAAAGCTTCCCAGTGATTCTAATGGGCAACTGGGGACGAACCATGGGAATACACTCACATAGTCTTTTTCAATTCTCCCATTCCCCGTGCTAATTAAATTCTAAAATGCTACTGTGGGTTTCTTCTATGTTAGACTCCTATTTATTTTTGCTCCTAGCTAGGAAAGAAATGTGTCCTCAGAGTCGAAAGGATGAAACGTCTCATCTTTGGAGTATTTTTGGCCATGAGTTGGCTTTGCAACTCTACCCTCAGAGGGCCTTTTAAACAGCTGATGGTTCTTATGGAAATGAAATGCATGATGTAATACTGCATGGAGCTCCACGTGGCAGATCCTGGAGCTGAGCTTTTGGTGACAGTTCCATGAAAGTTCAGATCATATAACTGGATGGGACAATAGACACACTCAATGAATCTCTTGGGTGGTACAGTTGTTTGCATCCTAAACTCCAGAATATCCAAAAAGAGATATTCTGTGATCGATACATTTACCAGTTGGGTAAGCAGACACAAGTAGATTTGTCTTTGGCATGTGCACCAATGGCCAACTGCATTTCTACCTGGCTTTGAAATAAATTATTTGAAGTTCTCTGGTGCCTTAAGGTGGTATAGAAGGAAAAGACCCCTGGAGTTTGTTAATATATTCAGTCTTCTTCTCTGTGTTACTGGATTTTCTAAAAGCAGATCATTTGTACCTTGGACCTAAAACCGCTTTCAAGAACTCGGTAGACTTGGGATTGAAGGACTGGGTTTTCCCTTTCCCACGCGAACTTCCCTAAATCCTACTCTGGCTTCAGAAAGCTCAGCTCCTATACAAGTCTGACTTCGGCATCCTTAGTGTAAACGTCTTGTATTGAGTCATGGAAAGACTAATGGAAGAATTGATAGCTCAAAAATGAGTTTCCTGCCAACAACACTTTTTTTCTGTCTCTGAAAACACCAGCAGGCTGTGTCCAAGAATGGGCTGATGTTCCCTTTATGCGATGGTAGAACAAGGGAAGAGAGAGATAAATGAATGGGATTGTTAAAAATGGCTGAAAACTTGATATGAACTTTGAGTCCATATTATCTTTTTAAAGTGATACAATACAATATTTGTAAATGGGACATTGAAAGTGATGGGGTAAAGGAATGCCTACGCAGTGGTGTTCTAACCATTAACTCTTTAGTGGACAGGGACAAGGTCTGCACCTCACAGAAGTAGGAGAGTGAGTTATGGGCCCAGACACATGGCGGCTCTGCCACCAACGAACTGTGCAAGCTTGGACAAGGTACCTACCTCTCTCAGCCTCAAAGTCCTCCATGGAAATAGTGGGAAGGGGTGAGGAGTAAACAAATAGCAAGTTTCTTAAAACACTCAGCATGTCGGTGGATGCTGGGAGCCTTCCCTCACCCCTTTGAAAATGGGCTCTGCACAGACACATTTTGGTGGGAGGCTGGGGCCAATCCCACCAACCTGAGTTGGGGAAATAAGATGATCCCTTCCGCAGTTCAGGTTTGCACAACCAGCTTTTGCAGGGAAGGCAGGGAAGAGGCGTGGGTGTTGTTGGTAGAGCGATAAGCAAGGCTTGCAATTTCACTTTGGTAGAACCACTGTGGTCTCCTTAGTTCTTCCAGGTTGAATCCTGGGCAGAGATCACATGAAAGCTGAGAAGCACAGATATCAGTTTAGAAATTGCGTATTTTCCCGCTGAATCCCAAATGCACAATAACTCTACACTTTGCGGTTGCATGAATCTACGAGGCCTCCTATGCACCCTCAGTAATAAACCCAAGACTCAGAATGTTGTCAGGCCAAGTTCTGCCCCTCCCTGGAGTGAGCCACCCTGCTTCACATGGGAGTGGTCCAGTGATACAACCCGAGCCTCCCCTCCGGAAGCTCTTCAGCAGGACCCTTCTTGGGTTCCGGGGCAGCGGTCTGTCCCCCGAGGCCTGCCTGCCGTGAAGCCATCAGCCCGTGGAGATGTTCATTGGATTCCCGACCGGTAGTGGGTCGGGCTCAACCCTCCCTTTGGGTTTTCAGGATTTGTAATGATCGCTCCATTTGTGTAAAATAGGCCGGCATTTTCTCTTGTTACTGAGATGTATTTTTCTATGTTAGTTAAATGTATAATTTGTGTAATTTTGTACATTAAAATGTATGCTTTTTCACAATTAAAGGGTCTTTTTTCCCTTTTGAATGTTTTATTTGTTGATGGCTTGTTCCAAAGTGTTGTCGACCCTGACATAACACAAAAAGGCAATGGATCTAGGACTCCCTTGATTTTTGGTGTGGAATAAATGCTTTTCTTGGTATTCAAATCCACTTTGCACAAATAATGAAAAATTTTCCTTTATAATCCATTATATATCTGTAGTAATTTCCAATTGCTGCTTTGACAGATGGCCATGAACTCACTGGCTTAGAACAACTCACATTCATTATCTTGTAGTTCCGAAGGTCAGAGTCCTGGGCTAAAATCTCAAAATGTCGGCAGGGCTGCCTTCCTTCTGGAAGTTCCAGGGGAGAAACTGTTTCCTTGCCTTTTCTGGCTACTAGAGATGCCCACATTCTTTGGCTTGTGGCCCCTTCCTTCCTCTTCAAATCTCTCTCGCTCTGACCTCCGCTTCTGTTCTCCAATCTCCCCTCCTCAGATTCCGACTCTACTGCCTCTCTCTCACTTAAAAGGACTCTTGTGATGACATTGGCTCCACCAGGTGACCCAGGATCATTTTCACATCTTAAGACCTTTAAGCTCAGCCACAGAGTCCCATTTGCCATGTGGAGTAACATGGGCACTAGTTCTAGGGACTCAGGTGTGGGTATCTTTGGGCATCATTATTCTGCCCACCACAGCCCTGTGTTTACTGATTTGGAGGCCACAGAAAAACAGCAGACATTTAAAAATCAAATGAGCCTGGATCTGAACTGCATCTCTGTCACTAGCTGACCATATAACCAAACAGGTTATTTAACTTCTCTGAACATGTCTTCCCACATCTGAGAAGAAGACAATATTCCATTGCTATATACCCCTGCTGATAAACTACAATGCCCTTTCCTTCACTTTTTGAAAACATTATTTTTGCAATGAATTCTTTTTTTTTGTTTTGTTTTGGTTTTTTTGGTTTGCCAAAACAAAATCCACCTCGGACCTGAGCTGGCCTCATGTCCTTTCCCATCTGACTCGTCCCTTTCTGTTCTCTGCCGTCACCCAGAAAGAAGGCTTCATGTCTGACAGGATGAGCTCAAGGCTTGTCCTTCACCAAATGTCATGGCGTAATTCACTCACAAGAACTCCTTCCCAGGAGGACGGGAGCAGTTGGAGGATGGGTTGGGGGATGGGGGAGGTCACAGCTGTCATCAGGATGGGGGCAGTTTGCTCAGGCTTCCCCAGCTGCCTCTGTTGGTCCCTGGCAGACATTGCTCCCCTCTGTCTCCCTGCAAGCTGGAAGGTGCATTTCCGACCTTATACCCTGGGTTTTCTCTCCTGCCTCCCTTTCTCTGTTGTGCTTGGGTTACTGACCTTGAGATGAGATGGTGTGGAAAAAACTCAGACGAACCTGAGTTGAAATCCCAGCTTAGTCACTTTCCAGTGGTAACTTGAGCAGTGGGCTTATGGTTTGCCATCCTCGGTACTCCAGCCTGAAGATGAAGGTGGCCTGGTCTGCCACATGGGGCTGCTGAGGTAGCCGGCAGCGTGTAGAGCAGAACGTGATGCACAGAAATGAAGCGTGTGTGCAAAGACCCTTATGCGCAGTAGGCAGCCCCAGGAGTTCCCGGTCCCCTCCTCTGCAGGGGGAGAGAAGCGTCAGGGGAAGTGATATAAAGTCAGTGACACACAGTGGGTGCCCCAAAGGTGTGTTAGATGAATGCTGAATGATTAGTTGCCCGAGACTACATAGAAAACAGGATTCTAACTCAACCACCTAGACTCTTCTGCCTAAACCAGGTCCCTTTATCTCTCCTTTCCCAGTGGGACCACGTCAGTCAGGCTCTTGGAGAGAGAAAAGAGTAGTTGTTTCAATGTGAACTCTGGCACCAGACTACTCTGTTTACACCTTGAAGTCTCAATTGCCAGCTGTGACCCTGGACAGATTATTTATATCTCTGAACCTCAGTGTCCTCATCTGTAAAATGAGGCTAAAATGGTACTTTCAAGGTTGATGCGAAGCATAAAAGTGTTACTATCTGTTAGGTGCCTACAAGGGTCTGGGCACGTGGTAAACATCCTATACGCAGAAGCTACGAAGATCGTTTCCTGTTTCTGCATAAAAACGGCCCTTTCTCAGCTCCTTCGGGTGTCACTCTCTTGTCTTGGCAACTGCCCAGCCCTTTCTCACGGTGGAAAGGGTTTTCTTTAAAAGCAGTAAGATTTCCATCGCCACAAGTAAAGCCTGAGAGACTGTGTCCTCGAGCTGCTGAGAGCAGATTCAAGCATGCAGGAGGAGGCCTGGCTTCCAAAGTTCTGTCTAACTCAGATTCTTGAGTTTTCTGATATTTCTCTGGGTTATGTCACCCTAAACATTTGCTGGGTTTTAGAAGAAGTTTCTGTGTGGTCTTCAACATGAAATGTCCTTGCCTGGCACAGGCTAGGAAATAGTATTTCATAGGACAGAGAAAAATTTTCATTGAAAAATCAAAAACACTTACAAGATAGCCTGGAGGCCTACAGACCTCAAGAGGAATGTCTGTGGCAAATCTGCACAGCAGGCTCAGGGACACAAGGAGACAGCAGCCAGGATGCGGCTGTGAAGGGTGGAGGCAGATGGAGGATGTGTGGGGGACTTTCTGTTCTCGCAGTCAGCAGTCTTTTCCCCATTAGAGTGCACACTTGTTGAAGGCAGACTTAGAAATACTCATCTGCGTCCCCACACTAGTCTCTCTCTCAAGCACAGAAAATGCTTGCTAAGTGGATGAGCCCACGCTCCAGGTCTGGCTGAGCCTCCTTGAGGTTGAGGCCCTGAGGGAGCCACTTCATGTCTCCCCTCCTGTTTCCTCTTCCAAGAGGGGGCAGGTAACAATACCTACCAGCTGCACAGACCCCTTGTTCCAGGGTTGAAAGACAGCATGTTCAGGGAGGTGTCAGCTGAGGCCATGGATCCAATGCCCCAGAATCCTCAGTCCATGGGGCCGGAGAGTCAGACAACAAGAACATGAATCCATCTGTCTGTCTGGCATTCTTGGAGCTTGACCACGCTGTGGGAGCTCTGGCTTGCAGCTGGCTGGGCCGGGAGTTGAAGGGACAGCTTCCAGCATGGGAGGCTGTGGGTAGGGGACATTGCAAGAAGCATGGATGCTCCCTTCTGCAGTCCCCATACAGTCCTGACTTTGCTTGTCTGGACTCGCCTGAGGAGGGGGTCGGCAGCTGGGATTCTGCCTCTCCAGAAAGTGCAGCTGGGACTGCAAGGTCTCCAGGGACTTGCAGGATCCTCTGCCTGATAATCTTGAGAAATAAGGGAAAGTGTCCATAGGAGGCAGGTGGTGCCTGGCGTCAGAGGAGAGCCCCAGCAGGGCGACCCCCACATCAGAGGAATCCCAGAATGCCCAGAGCTCAAGCTCCAGGAGCAGCAAAAGCGGACTGTGCCCCTTATATCGGGGGAGATCTGTCTGTCTGGTTGACTGCCAGCTGTGTGTGTGGTCATCTCTGTCTCTGTGCGTCTTTCTCCGGAGCGTTTTCATTTAAGCTTTTGACTCCCCTTATTCCTGGTGTGGACTAGTGTGTGGGCATCCTGCTGTCAGTTTACGATGCACGTGTGGATTCGCCTTGAGTTTGCCTTTGATATTGGTGTGTCCTGTGGTGTCTTTGGAGTGCACGTGTATGTGTGTGTCACTGGTCCCCATGCAAAAATGTACTTCTCTTGCGTATCTGTGGGATTATGCCTCTAACATGGCCCTCTTGGCTGCTGCACCACCCTTCCTGGCCCTTACCACCCCTGGGTCCAACATGCGGGTGCTTTTGTCTCCTCCTCCTCCTCTCTTTAGAAGGTCAGCTCCTGGAGGGCAGGCACTTGGTCTGTTTTGTCCACGGCTCTGTTCCCAGCTTCTACAACAGTGCCAGGCACTAGTGGGCGCTCAGTAAAATAATGCTGAGGGAATGTACCGTGTGTCCAATGCATGTGCCTCTCCAGTTGTGCAGTTAATCTTGGTGTGATGCTGTGTGTGAGTGGGGTTGTGAGACAATGAGATTTTCTGGTGTGTGTGTAATGAACTCGGAATGTGCACAAGCATATGTGTATGTGTGTACAACATTGAGTATGATGTGTATGAGCCAGCCCCTGTATATCTCCGGAGAACGTGTGTAATTGACTCTCGTGTGCGTGTCAGCATGTCTGTGTATCTCTCGTGTTTAGTGTAATTGGCGTGCAGGTATGAACCCGCGTGGGCCTCCGGAGCGTGTGGGCGTGCGGTTGTACTCACGGGGCTCCCGGCCCGCGCTCTCCTCGCGCCCTGCGCTCCGCCTGGGGGAGGGGAGTGGGGGTGCGGCGAGGGCACTGCGGTGCTGCGGCCCGCCCTCCGCGCTGCGGCTCCGGCGCGTCACCATCCCTCTCCGCCCCAGCCGCGGTCCCCGCCTCCCGGTCCTTTGTAGCCGGCCGCGCCGTTAGCCCGCAGCCGCCCGGAGGCCCCGCCCCGGCCCCGCCCCGGCGTGCGCCCCGCCCCGCCTCTCCCCTCCCCGGGCCGCAGTCGCGCCGGGGCCGCCGCGGGCCCGCACCGAGGCGCGGAGCGCGGCGCACGGCGGTGGCCAGGGCCGCGGGCGGGCGGGCGGGAGCGCGGCGGGTGGCCGGCCTTGGACGGGTATGGCGGACCGGCGGCGCGTGTGGAACACGGAGGACGACCTGCCCGTGTACCTGGCGCGGCCGGGCAGCGCGGCGCAGACCCCGCGCCAGAAGTACGGCGGCATGTTCGCCGCGGTGGAGGGCGCCTACGAGAACAAGACCATCGACTTCGACGCCTACAGCGTGGGCCGTCGCGGCTCGGCGCGGACACCGCGCAGCGCTGGCCGGCCCGACGCGGTCGGACTGCCGGGGCCGGGCGGCAGCGAGGACACGGCCAGCGACGTGAGCGAGCCCTCGGGCTCCGCGGTCAGCTCGCCAGGAGAGCGCGACGAGCGGCCCCTGGCGCTGCGCATCCGCTGCCCAGCGCCTCGCGACCTGCCCCTCGGCCGGGACAATGGCCAGGTACCCTCGGGGAGCGCGCGGG